AGCTTTTTTCTTCAATTAATAATAATTTTCTGCAGGCTGCACTCTGACTAATATGCAGCTTAAATTGTGTAAAATCAAATTGGCATTATTTACAAGACACAGATTTCTCTGGAGAAATACCTATTTTTCTGCATGTATCTCTCCTGGTAGTAGGATTGCAGAAGCACACAGATGTCCTACTCAGAATTTGCTCATAGACTTAAAAAGTCCTTTGATAGTGATACATATGCATTTTAATTAAATAAAGAAGACATGGCTTCAAACTGATCCGTGTAGTAGATGATACAGCAAAGCAAATTATTATCTTTGACAACAACAGAAGTAAAATCTTCATGATGCAAGGGAAAGAGATATAGAGAGCATTTGGGAAAGAATGTAATGCAGATTCATCAACTCTTATTTTCTAGTTAAATCAGATACAAAAGTAATTATAGCATTTTTGTGTGCCTGTGTCAAATTTTGCCAATGTCAAATAAGCTGGAACTACAAATTCTTAAAAAGATACCCCAAGTAACTTGCAGTATTTATCTTGTCAGCATTTTCAGGTGGATATAGTACTGGTTTGCTGTGGTGGCTGCACTTATCCAGCCTGAGATGAAGTAGAAGAGGTGTTATTTATAGTTCCTCCTTCCATTAAACTCAAAGCTTGTGCTCTGTGCCACAGAGGAGCATCCAGCAGTCTACAGAGTTCAGATTACTCCAACTGCTCAGACTTCAGTCTGGCCTTCATTCCATAATCAATAATGGTCCAACCCTCATTTTTATTGCTACCTAAGCATAACTACTAAATAGATATGGTGGGAGATCTACACCACTACTACAGCTAAAACATCTTTGTTCAACATCCTGTCCATGACACAGCAACACTATCTTTATTTTTTTTTTTCTTATCCTTTGGAAAAAAAAAAATATTTTTAAAAGATTTGTTATATTGATGAAGTGGATTTTCCCTTAAATCCAGAAACTCTTTTGGGGAACTTCTTGCAGCTAGGTTGCAGAGTGTTTTTTACACTTGCTTGTTTTCTAATTGCATATAAATTGCAGCCAAAAACTTGCTAGATCTGAACACATATAACCTCTGGGAGATGTGATCTGAGCTCAAAATTGAATTAGATTGCAAATTTTGCAAATTTTTTTGTTTTCATATCACAAAACTCTGAAGCCAGACATGCTGACCTTGAGAACACTCCAAACTATATGGCCCAAAGTCATCTCCTATAAAACCCTAGAACTTACAATCTGTTACAAAGGGAGCAGAAGAGTCTCTTGGTATTGATACTATTAGTATCAAGGTTAATTATTCAATAATTAATTACATTTGGTTCAAATTATTAGCCTTTGCTTTCTGTTCTTCATTTGTTTGCATACCTGTGCCAGCTGGTCATACAGATTGCATAGGATTGGGTTTCTTAATTTGGATTGCTCGATACTTTTAAAGGAGGAAAATTCTAAGCAGAGCAATTTTGGCTTTGAATTTTATGATACACAGTCCTTTGAACTAAAATTTGTAAAACTCTGGGTGTCCTGTTAATACATAAAATCTAATTTGTACTTCTGAATAGTTAAGGTAGTAAATAACACAATTCTCTCATAATCTCTAATACAAAATAAAACTAATTTCTTTTTTTTTAATGTGCCAATCTTTTGTGGAAAACAAAGTGGCATTTTAGTAGCATTGCTAATTTCTAGTTAGTAACCAATAATGAGAAACCCTAATTATTCAAGGTTTCTTTTTTCTACATCTTATAAATTCTGGATGTTTATTATGAGTTAACTCCCTGGTAAAGATTTGTGAAGGAGTGTTTTCTTGCCTTTAATATGAGTAGTTTTTTGCCCCTCAAATTCTGTTCAGAGTTCTGAAGGTTATTTTTTTCTTCAGAGTGAATCTATGTAGAAGCATGAACTCAACTGCATATGAAAAAGGTTGAGGGCAAAACCTGACCTCAAATTTTGATTTTGTTCAAGACCAAAACCCAGGTGAGACGACTGTATTTTCTAGCACTCTGTCAAAAATGAGCAGTATTGAGAAACCTAAATTATTCAGGCACAGCTGAGAAGTTCACAGTGCAGTCAAGAAGGATAATGTAGTTTTCAGGTCTGTGGGTTTAAACTCGGGCAATTTAAAGGAATGTTGCTTAAACTGATCATCTTCTAAGGAAATATGCTCAGTAGCCTCTCCAAAATGAAGACTAGCTGGCTTATCAGATTTTCTAGTAGATACCCATCTACAGACCAAGTAGTAAAGTTCCTTTCTCGACCAAAAATTCAGGCAAATAGGACATATTTGAAGTAGGGAAGGGTTCAAAATCTTGTGGCTGAACTGGAGAGGTTCACCTGTTCATAATAGGCCTGGATTGCAGCAATCCTCTGTTATTAAAAACTATTATCACAGCTGGTTGCAGATGTCCAAAGTATCCAAGAGTTTATGCCACTAAACCTCATGCCACAACTACACCTTGGTAGAACATGGCTTGGAGCTTAAAAGCAATTGATAAACTGAAATAATTAAATCATTTTAGGGAAATCACGATTCAAAATAACTCCATTCATTAGGATTAAATACGTCTGGCACTGTAGAGATTGGGCAACATGGATTGCTATTCCATATTTATATTCTGAATATGGTCTGAATAGTATTTTAATTAACTCCTGCATTAGGAACTTTATTCCCTGGGTTTGATCAAGCTGAAATTGCATGTATATGCTTCATATTTTGACTGTGTGCATTAAGCATTCAGTTTTCAGGCAATCATGCACATCAGAGCACTTACAGATCATTTCAGATATGATGAGAAAAACATCAGCTCTTGGGTAACCCAAACCTGTCCCAGTCAGGTATCTCTTCCTTCCAGGCTCACTGTATCATGTTTCTATGAAAAGTCAACATCCTTCCTGGAATGCTCCCCCTTAGGGGGAAGAGCCAGGGGAAGAAAAACAGGGAACTTGCCTGTGAGACAGTGGTATGCCTTTGATTCATTGATCCTAAGGACAGTGCTGAGACATCCTCAAGAATTTAATGGCTTTGGAGTCTGAATTCCAGCTTGCCAGTGTTTTTTTTTAAATGCTAAAACCATGGAAATTGAAGAGTTTCTTTCTTCTTGTTGTTGTAATGTTTGGTTGTTTTTTTGGTTTTTTTTCTTTTCTGTCAGTGAAAACGCTGGTTTAATGTTTTTCATTTGTTTGGAGAGAACAAGAATTAGTCCTCCCCTCTATAGTCTTGTGTTCATCTACACTGCACCAGCATGAAGTCAGTACATGATGCTGGTATTAAAAACTGAATCCATTTCTTTTCCTGTGTTTGGATCACCTGTGGATTACAACCTTGCAGCTGCACTGAGCCCTCAAAAGTCCATAAAGCTGCACTTAGTGTTTCCACATGTAGTCTGTTTGCAGGGATACATTAAATACAAATATATTAAAAAAAAGGTTTCAAGAGCAGGCCTGACACTTTTCCCTGTAAGTCTGGAATATAACCACACATTTTTTCTGTTACTCTAGCTGTATTAATATAAATAAAAATTAATTTTAATCAGAGTATAAAGTCTATCTTAAAAACTTCCTTTATTCCTTTATTATATGAGCAATGTTATAAAACAAATAGTATTTACCCTGGAATGTCTTTAAACTTGTTGAAATTCTAAAATCCAATTAATGCTGTCTCTTCTTTGCTTCAGTCCATTCAAAAACCAGTGTCTAAGTCTTCCAAATACCGACAGAAGTGTTTGTTAGCTTCATAGAAAACATCCAAACAGTTCATGGAATTTATGCCTTGGGGAAGCATTTGTTTTTCTTGTTTGGTCAATTAAATGCTGCCTTTCTTAAGGGAGGGTGTATTGTAACATCAGGCATGATAATAAACAGAAACACCAACGGGTTGCTGCAAAAAGTTTGGAGTGATGTTGGGGTTCCATTTATGCCTTTGGAGAGCTCAGACACTCAGGGAAGGGGTAATGCAAACTGAGGAGCCTTCTGCACAATTTTCATGAGATTATTCAAACTGAATAGCTCCAAGCTTCTTATGAAGCTAATGGTGCTCTAGTGGCAAGAAGTGGGAAAAAAAAAAAAAAAAAAAGCTACGTGATTATTTTCTCAATGTGAGCAAAGGGAATTTTAAGTAGAAATGCTATGGAGAAGTTATGATGGTTCAATCAAAAATATTGGGAAAGCTTTCTGCTGAAAAGGAATACATGTACAAAGCATACAAATTCTTGAGCTGGATGGAGGTTTATAAAGTGCTGATTCAACACAGAACACTATGATTTCACCAACATCTTTACGAAAATTTTGCTTTATTTCAATACATTTAAGATGCATGATGCTCATTTGAATTTTTAATTTTATGCTTACATTTAGATTTCTCTTTCTTTTTTGTAACATTATAATAGAAAGGTCAAGATTATATGAAGCAGCAGTGAAGCATTTTTGTAAGTATGAAGTGAGTAATTAATTTTGAATTATTTCAATCTCACACAAAGTCAAGGATTACAGATTCTGAAGCCTAGGATTTTCCCATGAGGTGGTCTCGGGTGGGAAATCATCAAATTGCAGAGGGTGTGTTTCCTGTCATTGCTTCTATTTGCAGGTACAGGCACGAAGTCGATCCAGCTCTTGCTCTTTCCAGGAAGTCTGGCTGTAGAATTGCACTCAAGAAGCTCTGTCCTGTTCCTCTGTCTTTTTGGTGTTATTTAGAATGAAATACAAAGTGTATTCTTCAAATTTCAAAACAGCTGTTGGTAAACTTCCTCCTTTGATTTTGTTCCTACCTTCCCTCTGCCTGAACTGATTATGTTAAGGATGATTCTGGAAGAGGAGGTGGCTGGAAAAATACAAAAAATACACACACCTGTGCTTCTTTCTTTCTTCCCCCTCTGGGTTGCTGAGAACATATAGAAACCCCAGACCACAGTCCCCAAACCATAAGTAGAACTTGTTGGCTCTGATTGTCTCACAAAGCCCTTATTAGGCTACACCAGCAGACTTTCCTCTTCTTCCTTCTCCAGGTTGCTGTGGGAGTGTAACTGATGCACTTCATTAGGGTTGGAAATGATGTGAGTAATGCTATTGTTTCTATCACTCTGTGTAAAGTGTGTATAATCATCCTGCTTCCTCATGATGGTATGAGTAACCCCTTTTTATGACAAGCTTTTTCCATTTTCCCTGTTTTTTGCTCTTTAACTTGTGATTCTACTCCTGAGGTTTGGATTGATGCAGGTGAGGGGGGAGGCTGGGAGGTGGGAAGAAGGAGTGATGCAAAGGAGCAAAAAGAGCACTTTTCCTTTCCTTACCTGTAACCCTGGTGGTTCAGTTTGGCTGTGGGCTGGAGATCAGATCACAAACCAGAGGAAATCCCACAGGCTGTGACTGCTGAGGGCTGTCACTGAGGACGTGGCAATGGAGGTGCCTTGTCCTAGTCCCAGCAGATGGAAGTGTGGTTTGGTGAGGGTGTCACCATCCCAGGGGCCTTTTCCATGCCCACTTTGCCAGTGCTGCTCCTGCTGGTCCAGTTGTACTGAGATGGGAAACCTGGGGCCAAGAAATCAAGCATAGGCAATGTCCAGAGTTTGCTTACAAGAAAGTTCTTTTGGCTACTCTGTGAACAAGGATCTGGAAACCAAAAACTTGAGCTGGTTCTGAGCACAAAGAATAACATCACTCCTCACTCATGTCTCTGATTTACCTAAAAACACTGAATGTATAACTTGGCTGAATTATTTCAGGTGATACATTTGTTTTCCTCATGCTGCGTGTGCCTTGTTCTTGCTGCTGCTCCGTATTCAGCAATGCCATCACATCCAGCAGTTTGTAGTGCTTTCCCCAGTGTGTCCCTGTGTTCAGCTCCCTCAGACACTCATACTGGGCTCTAGAGTCACATGTATTTTGCAATATTCCTCTGCCACTCATTTCCACCAGCACTGTCTCTGCTGCAACGTTTTGCCACAGGAGATGGACAGCATTGTTCAGAACATTTCCCAAAGGCTCAATAAGCCTTTCTGTTTCTGAAGCTGAGGGTTTGTTTTACTTCCTGGGAATGAGACAGTTCCCATCCTCTTGGAAGAGCAGGAGAAGTAGGCCTAAGGAAGAAAGGAGATTAAACACCAACTACTGGATTGATAGATCGTTTTGCTTTACTGCCTTCATAATATATGGACATAAACCAAAATCTTCCATCTCACACTTTGACATTTCTAGCAAGCATAAAACACAGGCTAATAGAAAAACAAAAGTAGCACATACCAGGAATCAGCCCCACAAACCAAACTTTTTTTTTACTTTGCTGCCACAAAACCCTTATCCCCACATTGTTAAAATAATTCCTTCTCTTCCTTCCTACATACAAGCTCAGCTCCCTTGATAGATAGTCCATTCCTTTTTAGTGTCTACTGTCTTTGTGGTAACATTTTTATTTGCTGGATGAAAGGGTAGTAAAACCCACTGGTGATTTTCCATTGCTGTTTATTTTATGCAGAATTTCCTCAGATACTCCAGCATGGGTATCTGGGGATCTTTTCTTCAGTAGTGTCCAGCATGGAAGGGTCTTGATCCTTGTTACGCATACAGTAAATACTCAGCGTTAGCAACATATCAATGTTTCGTTTTCCTTAAATAATTGTTGTTGCCACTGGCTGGAAAATAGAATAAATGGGAAGGGAGGCATACCGTGGGCAAGTATTGATTGCTGTTTCAAGATATTGTCAAAAATGAGACCCACAGAAACTATAGTAAAACATTACAGCACAAGTTGGTGAGACACTGTGTCCTAAATTGTTTTCAGCTTTGTTGAGAACATTATTGATCTTCTACATCCAAAGGGACTTGGTTTCCTAAGCATTGTCATTACAGCTTCTGGCTCCCTACAAGCACACTAAACCAAGAACACTTTATCTGGGGAACTAAGTGGTCTCTGCTCTGCCTTGCCCTTGAATTGAATCCGACTTCTAAGAGACTTCCTCAGCCCTGATGTCGTCAGCAGAGCACAGTGTTATGTTGGAACATGAGGGAAATATTAGATCATGGAAATTAACTAAGTGGAAGGACTTAATCTAATTCCCTCATCCTAGGTTATTGTTCTTTTAGAGTCATAACAAATTAGGAAGACTACCTAGTACAGGGAAAAAAAAGAAAAACACTTTATGCCAAAATCCCCTAAGAAACAAAACAACAGACCCTGGCTCATGATGTCTTTGCCTTGTCTTCTGATTCATCCCTACTCTTGTCCCTTTAAAATACATCATGGATATTTCAGAATGTGCTCTCTGCTGTTGTGCATGGAGCCATGGGTTACAGATGTCAATAGGATGTGGTAGAAATTTGTTTTAAAATTCCTGGTGAAGAGAATTGTGCTGGATATGGTCATAGGCTGGCGAGATGATCCACAAGTGGTGCTGATTTCGCTGTTTTGAAAATATACATCCCAGGAGCAGGGATGATTGGAACAGCTACAAAAAATAGAGCTTTTATTTTACGTGTTGAGGAGAGATGATAAAGAGCATTTACTGCAAACTGAGGCTTGTGAACATGCTGGTGACAGTCCTGATACTCTGGCAGTGGCTGCCACATGAGAGAATCCCCAGGTCTGAGGACGGGCTGGGGCAGTTTCCCAGCTGCCCCCAGACAGATGGAGGAATGGATGGGTGCCAGACTTCTCTGTGTTTTCTCGACAGGTTTTATGTGACCCAGCAGAACACTACTGAAACAGCAGGTCCTGTACCACACATGTAGTAAAAGCTAATGGGTTTGTTGCTGAAATTTTTAGGTTTTCTGTGTGCAGTTGCAAGCATCCCATTTATCTAACAGCTGTGCTATTGTTGTTTATGACCACTGACTTGAATGAGTTACCAGGAGCTGTTCAGAAGGGGCTCTTTGCTGCCTGTGGCTGCTTTTATCTATGCTCTTGTGTCCCCCAAAAAGAGCCGGGCTTTAAAAAGGTATGACTCAGCACAGTTGTGTCATGTCATTTATTATTATTCTTGCTGAGAGCCTTGGGTATTACCTCAACACAATTATGGAACAGGGCCCTTTTGTGGTTAGCCCTGTACACAAATATGCTGAAGGGTAGTCCTGTTATAAAATGAACTGTACAATGAGAAATACCAGCTAGAGACACTCAAATGAGAGCAAAAAACCAATATAATGTTTTAGCCATTAGTGGTTGGGTTTGTCTACAACTGCCTCAGCTGAAAACAGAGGATTTCTAAATTGTAAAAGGCTCCTTAAAAAAAACCCAAACATAAACTTTACAGCGTATTTGTGGATGAAACAGAATCAAAGGTTTTGAGACAGTGAAGCATGGGAAAGAAAATATGTTTGCAGAGTGATTAAAATAAGGCACTAGCAAACCTGGGCTTGCATCTCATGGTCCTTGTTGCTGAAGAACGAGTCTGTTTCTATGGCTGGTGGTTGTGTTCCCAGTCCCATCCTTCTCTGGCACCACACTTTTGGAAACTGCTTCATGGCAGAATTGAGACTGTGATGGGCCTCAGACCAGATGGCTCAGACAACATATCCATTGTTCCAGAGAGGATTTCCAGAATCCAGCTTTGGTCCCACAGGAGAGCACTGGATCGCCTGAAGAGATCCCATTAAAATAAAGGTTCCAGAAATTTCCAATCTCTCTGCTGCAGAGCTTAAGCTCAATTAGATCAAGAGCTGCAGGACCTTTGCTTTAGCTCCATGGATGACTAAAACTTTCTGGGGTCTGGTTTGTCTCTCACAGTGAAGTTTTCCTCTCAATATAGTCTGATGAGTCACGGTGAGTTGATTCTGCCTGGATGCCAGGTGCCCACCAAAGACACCCTATCACTCCCATCCTCAGCTCAGCAGGGAAAAGAAAATACAACACAAGGTTCATGGGTTGAGATAAGGACAGAGAGAGCTCACTCACCCATTACCATCATGGGCAGAGCAGACTTGATAGGAGAAAATCAGATTAATTTATTACAAAAAAAACAGAGTAGCATAATGAGAAATGAAAAGCATGCCTTAAAACAGCTTCCTCCCACCCCTCCCTTCCTCCTGGGCTCAACTTCACCCCCATTTCTCCTCCTCCTATCCCTTAGCAGCACAAGGGGACAGGGAAGAGGGGCTGCAGTCAATTCATCACTCATCTCTGATGCTCCTTCCTCCTTAGTGGGAGGACTTCTCACACCTTTCCCTTGTTCTAATTTGGGGTCAGATATAGGGGAAGCTTCCAGCAGCTTCTCACAGAAGAAACCCTGTAGTACCCCAGCTCCCAAAACCTTGCCTCAAAATCCCAGTCCAAAGAACCATAGAATGGTTTGGGTTGTCAGGGACCTTAAAGATCATCCAGACCAGTTTCCCTGAGAGGAACAGGGACACCTTCCAGTAGATCACCTCTGATCATGACATGTGTCTAATCCATGCCAGATGTCTAATAGGTCTTGTGGCTGAAAAATACATTTGATTTCAGGGAAGCTTTGAACGGGCAGCAGTGATTCTGCTTTGCATATTTCCGTGAGTGCTCCATCAAGACTGAAGCACCATGATGGCTGAGGAGAGATTTGTGGGTCAAGAATACATTTTCACATGTCTGAATAGTATAACACCCTTTCACATTGATCCAAGAACACACAGAAGTTCTGAATAAACACTGATTTTCCCTGTGACTGTGGCTTCTTCCTTCCACCTTCCTTCACAGGCCAGACCTTGTTGCTGCTGCTACATAACGTTGTTCAGCTGAAGTCCATAAGGCCATGGCAAGTGACCACAACTGAGTATCTGTCCCATGGATTGTTTTCTTCTCTGATTAAAGACTCAGGCAAATTCTTCATTCCCTAATTTCCCAAAGAGCCATGATCAGATCTGTGCACCAGCACACCAGTTCCTCATGAGCAGCTTGGAGTGACACAGAACTGCTCTGCGGCACGTTCAGCTGGGGATGCTGCAGAGAGAAGATGTCATTTAGCAACTCCCTCTAAAAATACATTATTATCCTCCTGAAAAATAGAAATAAAGGTTTTTCTGTCTCTCAGGACAGGTTCTGAGCTACAGCAGGTCAGTGGTGTCTGGGCCAAGTGAAGATTTCATCAGT